GCTTGTGGAACAATGCGGAACTGAGTTCTGCTGGGAAGTTGGGGGAGGAGGAGGAAGAGGCAGCTGCGCTTGTGCGCTAAGGTGCTGCTGCAGGCGGTGAAGCAACTGCTGGAGCTGGAGGAGGAGGTGCCAGAGCTGCTGGTGCTGGTGCTGGTGCTGGTGCTGGTGCTGCTGCTGCTGCTGCTGCTGCTGCTGCTGCTGCTGCTGCTGCTGCTGCTGCTGCTGCTGCTGGTGCTGCTGCTGGTGCCGGTGCCGGTGCCGGTGCTGCTGCTGCTGCTGCTGCCGCTGCCGCTGCCGCTGCTGCTGCTGCTGCTGCTGCTGCTGCTGCTGCTGAGGAGGAGGAGGAGAGAAGGGTGGACTCGGGGCATGGTGGGCTTGGGTGGAGATTTTGCACTGAAGTCCCCGAGTCGGGCCATAGCGAGGCACATATTCACGAGGAGAGAAGGCTGCTGCTGCGCCGCAGCCTGCGCTCAAACCCCTGATACCACAATATCCTGCGAGTCTCCCTTGACCACCACCACAGCTACCACTATGCCCTCCTCCATGCCCACCGGCACCACTTCTGCTGCATGCCAGGGCGACTATTGCCATGGAGGGAGCAATGTGAGTGTGGGCGGTTACGGCATGGCGCAGGCGAGCAGGGCATGAAGGTGTGCGGTATGCGTTTGCAAATGTGCGGTATGCCGGGGAGGTGGGCAGGGGGCGGACGAGGGGACGGGGGACAGCGAGCGGGGAAGGAGGGCGTGCGACGAGTGCGCGGACGGGGAGGGCGCGGACGAGCAGGGCGCGCGGACGGGCAGGGCGCGGACGAGCAGAGCGCGCGGACGGGCAGGGCGCGGACGAGCAGGGCGTGCGGACGGGCAGGGCGCGGACGAGCAGGGCGTGCGGACGGGCAGGGCGCGGACGAGCAGGGCGTGCGGACGGGCAGGGCGCGGACGCGAAGGGCGGACGAGCAGGGCGCGCGGACGGGCACGGCGCGGACGAGCAGGGCGCGCGGACGGGCACGGCGCGGACGAGCAGGGTGTGTGGACGGGCACGGCGCGGACGAGCAGGGCGTGCGGACGGGCAGGGCGCGGACGAGCAGGGCGTGCGGACGGGCAGGGCGCGGACGAGCAGGGCGTGCGGACGGGCAGGGCGCGGACGAGCAGAGATGGGCGCGAAATGGTCAGATTTCAGCGCGGGAGATGCAGATCTGGTCGCGCGGAGGCAGATCTGGGCGCGCGGAGGGCAGGTCTGGGCGCGCGGAGTGCAGATCTGGACGTGCGGAGGGCAGATCTGGGTGGGCGGAGTGCAGATCTGGGCGCGCGGAGTGCAGATCTGGGTGCGAAATGTTCAGATCTGTGCGCGGGAGGAGGAGATCTGGTGGCGCGGAATCCAGATCTGGGCGCGGAATGATCAGATCTAGGCGCGGGAGGAGTAGATCTGGTCGCAGGGAGTACAGATCTGGGCGCTGGAGTTGCAGATCTGAGCGCGGGGAATGCAGATCTGGGCGCTGGAGTTGCAGATCTGAGCGCGGGGAATGCAGATCTGGGCGCTGGAGTTGCAGATCTGGACGTGCCTTGGAGGGCAGCGCCTTAGGGGGCGCACGGGGAGGGAGGACAGCGCCTTAAGGGTGCGTGAAGGGAGGGCAGCTCCGTGGGTGGGGCTAGATCTGAGGAACGGGGAGGAATAGATGTGAGCTCGGGAGGAGTAGATCTAAGCTCGGGAGGAGTAGATGTGAGCTTGGGAGGAGTAGATCTGAGCTCGGGAGGAGTAGATCTGAGCTCGGGAGGAGTAGATGTGAGCTCGGGAGGAGTAGATCTGAGCTCGGGAGGAGTAGATCTGAGCTCGGGAGGAGTAGATGTGAGCTCGGGAGGAGTAGATCTGAGCTCGGGGGGGATAGATCTGAGCTCGGGAGGAGTAGATGTGAGCTTGGGAGGAGTAGATCTGAGCTTGGGACGAGTAGATGTGAGCTCGGGAGGAGTAGATCGGAGCTCGAGAGGAGTAGATCTGAGCTTGGGAGCACCGTAGTAGGACTAGGTCTGAGGGACGGGGAGGAGAGGGTGGCCTTAGGATCGAGGGATTAAGGCGTGAGCCAATAGCTCATGATACCATGTTGAAAAGCTAGAAGAGATACATTGAATAATGAGCCAAGAGGCCCTTTAGTACAAACAATGAGCAAGAGAGAGATGAAAGGGAAGCTTACCCTATTGGCCAATAAGTTGGCCAATGGGTGAGCTTGCTTGTGACCCAAGCAACCACAAATGTGTGTTGGTTGGGATTGGTTGAGCTAGGGACCAATCCCAACCAACCACAAAATGTGGTTGGAGGGTACACTAAACAACCCCCAATTTATAAGTGTACTACAGATCTAATTCTAGCCTATGTATGTTGTACAAATTATGAAATTACAACAAGAAGGCCATGAACTGCCGTCCTACCTGATAGAAGGCCATGAACTGCCGCCCTACCTGATAGAAGGCCATGAACTGCCGCCCTACCTGATAGAAGGCCATGAACTGCCGCCCTACCTGATAGAAGGCCATGAACTGCCGCCCTACCTGATAGAGGGCCATGAACTGCCGCCCTACCTGATAGAGGGCCATGAACTGCCGCCCTACCTGATAGAAGGCCATGAACTGCCGCCCTACCTGATAGAAGGCCATGAACTGCCGCCCTACCTGATAGAAGGCCATGAACTGCCGGCCTACCTGATAGAAGGCCATGAACTGCCGGCCTACCTGATAGAAGGCCATGAACTGCCGCCCTACCTGATAGAAGGCCATGAACTGCAGCCCTACCTGATAGAAGGCCATGAACTGCCGCCCTACCTGATAGAAGGCCATGAACTGCCGCCCTACCTGATAGAAGGCCATGAACTGCCGCCCTACCTGATAGAAGGCCATGAACTGCCGACCTACCTGATAGAAGGCCATGAACTGCCGCCCTACCTGATAGAAGGCCATGAACTGCCGCCCTACCTGATAGAAGGCCATGAACTGCCGCCCTACCTGATAGAAGGCCATGAACTGCCGCCCTACCTGATAGAAGGCCATGAACTGCCACCCTACCTGATAGAAGGCCATGAACTGCCGCCCTACCTGATAGAAGGCCATGAACTGCCGCCCTACCTGATAGAAGGCCATGAACTGCCGCCCTACCTGATAGAAGGCCATGAACTGCCGCCCTACCTGATAGAAGGCCATGAACTGCCGCCCTACCTGATAGAAGGCCATGAACTGCCGCCCTACCTGATAGAAGGCCATGAACTGCCGCCCTACCTGATAGAAGGCCATGAACTGCCGCCCTACCTGATAGAAGGCCATGAACTGCCGCCCTACCTGATAGAAGGCCATGAACTGCCGCCCTACCTGATAGAAGGCCATGAACTGCCGCCCTACCTGATAGAAGGCCATGAACTGCCGCCCTACCTGATAGAAGGCCATGAACTGCCGCCCTACCTGATAGAAGGCCATGAACTGCCGCCCTACCTGATAGAAGGCCATGAACTGCCGCCCTACCTGATAGAAGGCCATGAACTGCCGCCCTACCTGATAGAAGGCCATGAACTGCCGCCCTACCTGATAGAAGGCCATGAACTGCCGCCCTACCTGATAGAAGGCCATGAACTGCCGCCCTACCTGATAGAAGGCCATGAACTGCCGCCCTACCTGATAGAAGGCCATGAACTGCCGCCCTACCTGATAGAAGGCCATGAACTGCCGCCCTACCTGATAGAAGGCCATGAACTGCCGCCCTACCTGATAGAAGGCCATGAACTGCCGCCCTACCTGATAGAAGGCCATGAACTGCCGCCCTACCTGATAGAAGGCCATGAACTGCCGCCCTACCTGATAGAAGGCCATGAACTGCCGCCCTACCTGATAGAAGGCCATGAACTGCCGCCCTACCTGATAGAAGGCCATGAACTGCCGGCCTACCTGATAGAAGGCCATGAACTGCCGCCCTACCTGATAGAAGGCCATGAACTGCCGCCCTACCTGATAGAAGGCCATGAACTGCCGGCCTACCTGATAGAAGGCCATGAACTGCCGCCCTACCTGATAGAAGGCCATGAACTGCCGCCCTACCTGATAGAAGGCCATGAACTGCCGCCCTACCTGATAGAAGGCCATGAACTGCCGCCCTACCTGATAGAAGGCCATGAACTGCCGCCCTACCTGATAGAAGGCCATGAACTGCCGCCCTACCTGATAGAAGGCCATGAACTGCCGCCCTACCTGATAGAAGGCCATGAACTGCCGCCCTACCTGATAGAAGGCCATGAACTGCCGCCCTACCTGATAGAAGGCCATGAACTGCCGCCCTACCTGATAGAAGGCCATGAACTGCCGCCCTACCTGATAGAAGGCCATGAACTGCCGCCCTACCTGATAGAAGGCCATGAACTGCCGCCCTACCTGATAGAAGGCCATGAACTGCCGCCCTACCTGATAGAAGGCCATGAACTGCCGCCCTACCTGATAGAAGGCCATGAACTGCCGCCCTACCTGATAGAAGGCCATGAACTGCCGCCCTACCTGATAGAAGGCCATGAACTGCCGCCCTACCTGATAGAAGGCCATGAACTGCCGGCCTACCTGATAGAAGGCCATGAACTGCCGCCCTACCTGATAGAAGGCCATGAACTGCCGCCCTACCTGATAGAAGGCCATGAACTGCCGCCCTACCTGATAGAAGGCCATGAACTGCCGCCCTACCTGATAGAAGGCCATGAACTGCCGCCCTACCTGATAGAAGGCCATGAACTGCCGCCCTACCTGATAGAAGGCCATGAACTGCCGCCCTACCTGATAGAAGGCCATGAACTGCCGCCCTACCTGATAGAAGGCCATGAACTGCCGCCCTACCTGATAGAAGGCCATGAACTGCCGGCCTACCTGATAGAAGGCCATGAACTGCCGCCCTACCTGATAGAAGGCCATGAACTGCCGCCCTACCTGATAGAAGGCCATGAACTGCCGCCCTACCTGATAGAAGGCCATGAACTGCCGCCCTACCTGATAGAAGGCCATGAACTGCAGCACGTGGAAGGCTCCCGGTGTGTCCCCCGCACTGAGGGTGAGCACATGGTCGTACTGCCTCAGCTGCCAGGGGGGTGGGGCGAGGCAGACATGAAAGGTGTTGAAGGGTTGGGGGTTACTGAAGCGAGGTGGCACAGGTGCAGGTGGCACAGGTGCAGGTGGCTTGGCTTGGTAGATGTTAAAGGCATGGTGAGGGGCAATCCAGGAAGGATGGAGTGCATGCCCATGCTCACATACAGCACATAGCCTTGCTCACATACAGCACATAGCCATGCTCACATACAGCACATAGCCATGCTCACACACAGCACATATCCATGCTCACATACAGCACATACCCATGCTTGCAGTGCATGGGTATGGGTATGGGCTTGTGCATGGGCATGGGCATGGGCATGGGCATGGGCATGGGCATGGGCATGGGCATGGGCATGGGCATGGGCATGGGCATGGGTATGGGCATGGGCATGGGTATGGGCATGGGCATGGGCATGGGCATGGGTATGGGCATGTGAATTGGCATGGGCATGGACACGGTAATGCTTGCGCATGCTCATGCTTGCAGCACATTTGCATGGGCACGGCATGGGTGGCGGGTGGCGTCTCACAGCGGAGGGGAAGTCCCCGAGGGCGTGCAGGGCGGAGGCGACGACGTGGTTCAGCTCGATGTCACCCGGGTTGCCCCGCAGCCCCCGACGCGCACTCTCCATCGCCGCCCTGCCACCCCGCACACCCCGCATTCCCCGCACGCAGGGGGGAGTAGCGCAAAAGGCAAACACGAACATGTTCATGTTCGCCTTGCCTTGAGCACTCGTATTTGGCGACCTGAACATGTTCGTGTTCGGCCCAACACAAACCCGTGAAGGAGGTGTTTGGTGCTCGCCAGGTGTTCGCCAGGTGTTCGCCAGGTGTTCGCCAGGTGTTCGCCGCGAGCACCAACATGTTTGAGTTCGTCTGTAGGCTGCCTTCATTGAATTCAGGGTGCACGGATGGTGGATTTTGGCGTCCAGGGTGGTGTGGCTATACCTGGTGGACGTTTGGGAGTGGGGAAATGAAACACCAAGAGTAATTTTTGGTTCCGCCAAACTATTTCATTGGAATCTAGGTACCGTAGCTGCTAGAGCTTGTCGTGTACACTGTGGGAGGAAGGTTAGGCAGAGGTTGAGGTTAGGAATGATCGTGTGTCCCACCGACCTAGACAACGAGGGATTTTTTCTGACCAACACATTTGTGTTGGGTGTGGTTCAGATAGCTGCAGAGAACAGAATACAGACATGTTCGCCCCAAACACTTTAGGCCACAAAAACATTAAGTGTTCTGTTCGCCTCGAAGGTGTTCGCCCTTGTGCTGGGGGAGCGAAGCACAGCACCGTGCGTGCATGGGTTGGCTGCATTTCATGAGACCCTAAACTTAACTCCAAATCCTCAACTCAAGCCAATGCAAAACAGCGGCGTGAGTGATGCCTGTGAGAGTCATACATGGTTGAATGCAGTGACTACCAAGAGTATACATGGGCAACGAGCCGAGCCGAGTTTTACTCGGCTCGTCCCAATGCACACTCGTACGAGCTTTTTCCGGGCAAATGCAAGCTCGTGACTCGGCTGAATATCACGAGCTTTTCAAAAGCTTGTCCGAGCTTCAAGAAAAGCTCGGACGAGCCGAGGAAAGCCCGGCTCGTTGCCATATACATGCACGAGTTTCCTAAAAAGCTCGTCAGCGCAACGAGTGCTCCGAGTTTTAAAAACTCGCCGAGTTAAACTCGCCTCGGCTCGGACGAATAATTTTCAGGGAAAAGCACACTCGTCACTCGCCCTCAAACGAGTGCCTCGTACGAGCCGAGGCGAAAAACTCGGCTCGTTGCCCATATATAACCAAGAGCAAGAGGTCAGATATATTAGGCTCTTGCTTGCTGATTCTGATGCCTCTGAGGCTTGTTTGTACTCGAGAACCACACCAAACCTGTCGTATTTATGAATGGGCATGGGTATTTGATACTAAGCCGTTCTTCCTAAATCATTCCACAAGGGGCTTCATTTCAATTCATTGCCCCTCATCCGCCTCCCTCACGCCACCTTCCCCCTCACGCCACCTTCCCCCTCACGCCACCTTCCCCCTCACGCCACCTTCCCCCTCACGCCACCTTCCCCCTCACGCCACCTTCCCCCTCACGCCACCTCCCCCCTCACGCCACCTTCCCCCTCGTGCCACCTTGCCCCTCACGCCACCTTCCCCCTCACGCCACCTTCCCCTTGTGCCCCGGTGGCTGGGTCGGTGGGCTCGCACAGCCAAGACCTCTTTTAGCGATCGCTGCCGCGTGCTTCACTTGACTTCAACTTTCTTCATACCACACCACTCCCACAAATCGCAATCCCCGCTTGGCTCATATGCATTGCCTTAATGTGCACCTGTGATGGCCCGTTAGTTGGTGTAGAGATGCCAAGCGGTGGTACGCCACTGTGGACCTGAAGCGCTCACACAAGGGTGGATGGTGTCAAAACTTGAGCTTAGAATTCATGCATCAGTAATGAGCTCTCTTTAAGTACAACTAGGATGAGCAAGGAATGGATGGGGAGGGGAATCTGGGGCAATCTCTAGGGAATGGGGGTAATCCTAAGGCAATCTCCAATTGGTGGGTTGGAGATTGCTTGGGAATCACATTTGAGTTTGGTTAAGATGTGGATGTACACCCAACCAAACACAGAGTGCAAATTACACAACACTAGGATATAAATGGTGCAAGTTTAGAATGTGAGATTGATGGCTAACACAAACAGACGGATGGAGGGAGGGAGGGAGGGAGGGAGGGAGGGAGGGAGGGAGGGAGGGAGGGAGGGAGGGAGGGAGGGAGGGAGGGAGGGAGGGAGGGAGGGAGGGAGGGAGGGAGGGAGGGAGGGAGCGAGCGAGCGAGCGAGCGAGGGAGGGAGAGAGCGAGGGAGGGAGAGAGGGAGGGAGGGAGGGAGGGAGGGAGGGAGGGAGGGAGGGAGGGAGGGAGGGAGGGAGGGAGGGAGGGAGGGAGGGAGGGAGGGAGGGATGGATGGATAGGCATGAATGGGGACAGTACCAAACCGAAATAGAAAAATGTTGTAGTCAGTACCAATTCTTGCTTTTACCATTTATGTTTTGACTCGAGCCCACCTTGATTTCGTCGATCCAGTTCGGCTTGGTTTGGTTCATTTACTTAGGACAAAGTTCACTTCAGTTCAAGGATAGCCACGGCTGGCTGCACTCACTCCTCCAGGGCTACGGCTCGCTCGAGTGCGTGCAGCGCGGGTTGCACGGCGCCCAGCTCCTTGAAGGCGCGGCCGGCCTCCAGCCAGAGCTGCAGGGCCTGCGGGAAGAGCGCCGCGCCGCGCTCAAACACCTCCGCCGCCCGCCGCCACTCCCCCGCCCCCGCTAGCGCCAAACCCTGCGCGCCGGGAATAAGGGGGGAATGGGAAGGGAAAAAGGGAGAGGAGGCGTGGGCACATGGGGGAGGCGAGAGAAGATGAATGGCGAGTGGTGGCATGGGAGAGTGCATGAGAGTGGAAGCAAACTGAGGACAACACAAGGCAAGGAACACGTGGTTGCTCAAGTGGATACGGTGTGGCCTCCATGAAGCTGGACGGTGCATGTGGTGCTGTGCACGACTAAGGCAGCGAGCATGGATAGCAAAGGAACATGTGAGAGGGGCGCATGCAAGCCGAGACGCGAGAGAGGGCGTGAACGGGGCGAGAGGGGCGAGCAGAGGAGCGCACGAGGGCGTTGAAGAGCAGCGGGTCGGGCGGGTGGGTGCCGTGCAGCGTGGAGAAGTCGCGGATGGCCGCCCAGTAGTCGTGCGCGTGGAAGTGCAGCGAGCCTGCCACGCCGCAACACACATGCATGCTGCACTGCACTGTACCGCACACTTAGGGTTGAGCACACGGCCAACCTGCTGCCTGTTTTTGCCAGAACGGTTCGAGTTGAACTGTTCGCTTCAGTTTAAGTTGAGCACATTCAGAAGGTTCAACACTATACCAGAGAGATGCATAATCTAACATTCACACCTTCCCCCCCTACCCACCCCCCTCTCTCCCCCCCCCCCGGAATCGTGTCATTGACTGTGCTCGCCTCGTGCCTCGCAGAGAGCTGTACACCTTCCTCTTATCCAATAGATGTCGTTGAGGAACAATGTTGCCAACCAGTTTTCGCTGCTTACCACTCTTCACCGCACTGAATCTGCCAAGCCCAGCCCGCGCACAGCATGTAACTGATCTCGCCATTGGCAAGCTCGTCGCTTCGTCCCACCGCATTCCGCTTGCGTCACCCGTGTACCCAGGCGCCTGACCTGGCCTGGAGGATTACATCCTTTGGGTGCCCATTCAACCACACCCGGAGGGCGGTCCACCCACATGGCCGGTCGGCGTCACAGCAGTGCCCCACCCAGCCCGAGAAAAAAGCTGTGTCGAACAAATCAGCCCCACCCGGCCAAGCCTTATGCACATGCTTAGAGTAACAACGATGCTATACGGGATAGGAGTAGGAGAGGCGGTTCGAACCGATATGGTTGTGTATCACATGTGGGATTATCAAGAGACATCACAAGTAGGATTAGCTGAATTACATGTTAAGTTTTGAGTCGAACAGGTCGACACTTGAACTTGTTGGTCTTACATAATAACACAAACTTAGAACGCAAGCATGCACTCACAAACGAAGGCGCAGATTTCCTTGCTGGCCCAGCAGGCCGCAGCTGGCCCACCTCGGTGCGTGTGAGCGGGCATCACCTCGGTGCGTGTGAGCGGGCATCACCTCGGTGCGTGTGAGCGGGCATCACCTCGGTGCGTGTGAGCGGGCATCACCTCGGTGCATGCGTGTGAGCGGGCCGGGCATCACCTCGGTGCAGCAGCGCCTCGTGGTTGGCGGGGTCGAGGTCCAGCGACCGACTCAGGTCCGCCATCGCCTGCTCCATGCCATGCCATGCCATGCCATGCCATGCCATGCCATGCCACATGCACCATGCACCATGCACCACGCACCATGCCACATGCACCATGCCACATGCACCATGCACCATGCACCAGGCACCATGCACCATGCCCCATACCATGCACCATGCACCATGCACCATGCCACATGCACCATGTACCATGCACCATGCCACATGCACCATGCACCATGCTGCCCCATGCCACATGCACCATGCACCATGCCATGCACCATACCACATGCACCATGCACCATGCACCATATACTACCATGCCACATGTACCATGCAACAAGCCACGCCATGCCGCGATGTGGCATAGAAGAGCACTCATGACATGGGACGATATGGTGTGGTGTAGCATTGGGAGAGGGTGGCATGAGTTGGTGGGTAAGCCACTGTGGCATGAGTCAATGACTTCACAGGATGATGATACACCAGTACTGTAGAGTGGATATGCGAAGTGCAAATATATTGTGGACGCGTGCAAGGAGAGAAAGGGTCCAAACGAGTGCAAGGAGAGAACGAGTGCAAGGAGAGAACGAGTGCAAGGAGAGAAAGGGTCCAAACGAGTGCAATGAGAGAACGAGTGCAAGGAGAGAACGAGTGCAAGGAGAGAACGAGTGCAAGGAGAGAACGGGTCCAAACAAGAAAAGCAACGCCTTCTCCTTGATGTCTCTCCCTGCTCTTGTTTCATTCCCTCTTCTTCATCCTTTTCCAATGCTTTTAACGTCTTACCTCCTCTTGCCCATGCTGCCATGCACTGCTGCTCACCTCTCTCCTCTTGCCCATGCCGCCATGCACCGCTGCTCACCTCTCTCCTCCTGCCCATGCCGCCATGCACCGCTGCTCACCTCTCTCCTCCTGCCCATGCCGCCATGCACCGCTGCTTACCTCTCTCCTCTTGCCCATGCCGCCATGCACCGCTGCTCACCTCTCTCCTCTTGCCCATGGCAGCATGCAGCAAGCCTCGTTGCCTCCAAAGCTCCGCATTGTTGGGAAACAGCTTCACCCCCTGCCACGTGGAGGGAGGCAGCACGGCGATAACAGCACGGCAGAAGAAAATGCAATGAGTCCACACCATCATCACACTATCCATGCCACTTCCACGTACCCTAGCCGACTGAACCCTTAAGGCAATAGCTAATGATACCTAACGTAGATCTGGTGTTTAATAAGTCACGTTTACATATACTAACCATGTTAACAATGCTTGCCTTACTTAGAAATTACATTTTCATCAGCTCTGTAATTCCTTCCTTTGACAGGCTGTATTCTTTTCTAACAAGCAAATTAGGCATATGAAACACTCAAACCATGGTGTGTTCAACTCCATTGCACGGCATTCCATGCAACCTCCCTTCTACAGCAGCTCCCGTTTCCATCTGTAACCTGCCCGGGGAAAAAAAAAATCCCTGCCCGGACAAGCGGATCGGATTTTTGTGCGTACCAGACCCCTCCTAGCCAGCGTTTTGCGTTTAGACGCTAGCGTTTGGACGAAAGCGTACAAACGTGAAACGCGATTTTTCCAACTTTGAGAGAAACACATCAATGGCATCAACGTGTGACCACAGAGAAACACATCAATGGCATCAACGTGTGACCACAGAGAAACACATCAATGGCATCAATGGCTATGACGCATGGGGGGGCAAGGGGGAACGCATGGGGTTGGGGGGCGGGCATGGGCACGCACGGTGGAGAAGTCTTGGAGGGCGAGGCGGTGGTGGGCCAGCAGCGAGTGCGCTGTGCCGCGCCCCACCAGCACCGCCTCCCTCACCTCCTCCTCCCGCTCCACCTGCTCGCCGCCCCGCCAGGGGGGGTCAGGGGGCACGGGGTAGGGCGTAGGGGATAGGGGATAGCGGATAGAGGACAGGGGGAGAAGGCATCAGGGTGGCGCATGGGAGGCTTGGTGCAGTGCTGGAACTGGGATGAGTGGAAGGTGGTGATAGGGGAGTGGAAGGTGGTGATGGGGAAGTGGAAGGTGGTGATGGGGAAGTGGAAGGTGGTGAAAGCGTGGGTGGGTTGGTGGAGTGATGGCAGGGTGGAATGGTGGTGCATGCGATGGTGCATGCGATGGTGCATGCGATGGTGCATGCGATGGTGCATGCGATGGTGCATGCGATGGTGCATGCGATGGTGCATGCGATGGTGCATGCGATGGTGCATGCGATGGTGCATGCGATGGTGCATGCGATGGTGCATGCGATGGTGCATGCGATGGTGCATGCGATGGTGCATGCGATGGTGCATGCGATGGTGCATGCGATGGTGCATGCGATGGTGCATGCGATGGTGCATGCGATGGTGCATGCGATGGTGCATGCGATGGTGCATGCGATGGTGCATGCGATGGTGCATGCGATGGTGCATGCGATGGTGCATGTGACGGGATAGCTGCATCATGAGTACTACCATGATACCATCCCCATCATCACCACATCACCATCCTCATCACCTCACCATCATGACGACAATTGTCATCAGCAACATACCAGGTTGAAAAGCGTGATGGCTTCGTGAAAGTGCTTCTTCCGCATCTGACACCAATAGCACCAAGCAGCGAGCATGGGGCAGCGAGCAGCGAGCATGGGGCAGCGAGCGTGTGAGACAAGAAAGCTATCCAGTGAATAGACAAGAGGCGAGGTGAGGCACAGAGGCGGGTGGCAGAGCAGCGACTGTCTTACTTACTTTCTGACTGACTGACTGACTGACTGACTGACTGACTGACTGACTGACTGACTGACTGACTGACTGACTGACTGACTGACTGACTGACTGACTGACTGACTGACTGACTGACGGGAGCGGAGCGGACAGACAGAGGGGGTGGGAGGGGGCGGACTGACCAGGCGCAGGGCGGTGTGCAGCAGCGCGTGGGTGTCCACCTCGTGCTGCACCGCGCCCTTGTCGTCCACATACTCCTCCACCACCGCCCACCACGCACCCTCCTCCCCTCCACCCCCTCTCCCTCCTCCCTTCCCCCTCTTTTCTCCCCCACCCTCCCTGCTACCACCAGCGTCCACGTCTGCACGCGAGTGTGCGCCGTGTGCCGTTGCTGTGCGTGCTGCGGCCTCGCCCCTGCCCCCGCCTGCAGCCCTGCCACGACGACCCCACCCTCCAATCGCTGCCGCCCTTCCTGCCCCCCTCGCCGCGCCATGCCCACAGCCACCACCCTCCGCGCCATGCCCACAGCCACCACCCTCCGCGCCATGCCCACAGCCACCACCCTCCGCGCCATGCCCACAGCCACCACCCTCCGCGCCATGCCCACAGCCACCACCCTCCGCGCCATGCCCACAGCCACCACCCTCCGCGCCATGCCCACAGCCACCACCCTCCGCGCCATGCCCACAGCCACCACCCTCCGCGCCATGCCCACAGCCACCACCCTCCGCGCCATGCCCACAGCCATCACCCTCCGCGCCATGCCCACAGCCACCACCCTCCGCGCCATGCCCACAGCCACCACCCTCCGCGCCATGCCCACAGCCACCACCCTCCGCGCCATGCCCACAGCCATCACCCTCCGCGCCATGCCCACAGCCACCACCCTCCGCGCCATGCCCACAGCCACCACCCTCCGCGCCATGCCCACAGCCACCACCCTCCGCGCCATGCCCACAGCCACCACCCTCCGCGCCATGCCCACAGCCATCACCCTCCGCGCCATGCCCACAGCCATCACCCTCCGCGCCATGCCCACAGCCACCACCCTCCGCGCCATGCCCACAGCCACCACCCTCCGCGCCATGCCCACAGCCACCACCCTCCGCGCCATGCCCACAGCCACCACCCTCCGCGCCATGCCCACAGCCACCACCCTCCGCGCCATGCCCACAGCCACCACCCTCCGCGCCATGCCCACAGCCACCACCCTCCGCGCCATGCCCACAGCCACCACCCTCCGCGCCATGCCCACAGCCACCACCCTCCGCGCCATGCCCACAGCCACCACCCTCCGCGCCATGCCCACAGCCACCACCCTCCGCGCCATGCCCACAGCCACCACCCTCCGCGCCATGCCCACAACCACCACCCTCCGCGCCATGCCCACAGCCACCACCCTCCGCGCCATGCCCACAGCCATCACCCTCCGCGCCATGCCCACAGCCATCACCCTCCGCGCCATGCCCACAGCCACCACCCTCCGCGCCATGCCCACAACCACCACCCTCCGCGCCATGCCCACAGCCACCACCCTCCGCGCCATGCCCACAGCCACCACCCTCCGCGCCATGCCCACAGCCACCACCCTCCGCGCCATGCCCACAGCCACCACCCTCCGCGCCATGCCCACAGCCACCACCCTCCGCGCCATGCCCACAGCCACCACCCTCCGCGCCATGCCCACAGCCACCACCCTCCGCGCCATGCCCACAGCCACCACCCTCCGCGCCATGCCCACAGCCACCACCCTCCGCGCCATGCCCACAGCCACCACCCTCCGCGCCATGCCCACAGCCACCACCCTCCGCGCCATGCCCACAGCCACCACCCTCAGCGCCATGCCCACAGCCACCACCCTCCGCGCCATGCCCACAGCCACCACCCTCCGCGCCATGCCCACAGCCACCACCCTCCGCGCCATGCCCACAGCCACCACCCTCCGCGCCATGCCCACAGCCACCACCCTCCGCGCCATGCCCACAGCCACCACCCTCCGCGCCATGCCCACAGCCACCACCCTCCGCGCCATGCCCACAGCCACCACCCTCCGCGCCATGCCCACAGCCATCACCCTCCGCGCCATGCCCACAGCCATCACCCTCCGCGCCATGCCCACAGCCACCACCCTCCGCGCCATGCCCACAACCACCACCCTCCGCGCCATGCCCACAGCCACCACCCTCCGCGCCATGCCCACAGCCACCACCCTCCGCGCCATGCCCACAGCCACCACCCTCCGCGCCATGCCCACAGCCACCACCCTCCGCGCCATGCCCACAGCCACCACCCTCCGCGCCATGCCCACAGCCACCACCCTCCGCGCCATGCCCACAGCCACCACCCTCCGCGCCATGCCCACAGCCACCACCCTCCGCGCCATGCCCACAGCCACCACCCTCCGCGCCATGCCCACAGCCACCACCCTCCGCGCCATGCCCACAGCCATCACCCTCCGCGCCATGCCCACAGCCACCACCCTCCGCGCCATGCCCACAGCCATCACCCTCCGCGCCATGCCCACAGCCACCACCCTCCGCGCCATGCCCACAACCACCACCCTCCGCGCCATGCCCACAGCCACCACCCTCCGCGCCATGCCCACAGCCACCACCCTCCGCGCCATGCCCACAGCCACCACCCTCCGCGCCATGCCCACAGCCACCACCCTCCGCGCCATGCCCACAGCCACCACCCTCCGCGCCATGCCCACAGCCACCACCCTCCGCGCCATGCCCACAGCCACCACCCTCCGCGCCATGCCCACAGCCACCACCCTCCGCGCCATGCCCACAACCATCACCCTCCGCGCTCTGCTCTTCCTTCCTCCCCTTCCCTCGCCTCTCACTCTTTTCTCCACAACCCGCCTGGCCCTCCCCCCTTCTGCATACCCCCTCCGTGCCTGGAGCGGGGCAGCGTGGGGGGCAGGAGGCGGAGGAGGGGCAGAGGGGGCGGAAGAGGGGGGGCGGGGGCGGGGAGGGGAGCAGCAGCACGCACAGTTCGAGCCCGCCCAGGCGCCCTGCGTGTCGCGCCGAGGCGGCGTGGCAGCGGGGGGGGACGGGGGAGGGCGGGCTGGAGGAGGCAGCAGCCGGGGAGGGCGCGTGCGAGAGAGAGAAGAGCTTGGTGCCTGGCATGCACGCGAGGGAGAGAAGGCGATAGGGAGGGGGGAATGGGAAGTGGGGGCGGGGGGAAGAGGGAGGGGGAATGAAGTGTTTGATTGTGCTTGGTGTTTTCTGTGCGGCCAGGCAGCAGTGAGCAGGGAAGCGGGGCCCGCCCACCCACCTTTGCGCACGAAGGGCCGCAGGCACGTCGCAGGGGCGTGCAGCGTGCGGGGCGGCGACGGCGAGGCAAGGTGCAGCGCGGCGGGGCGGGGAGGCAGCGCGGCGAGCAGGCGCAGGTCGTCGTCGCACAGCGCGCTGCTCCTGGCGGGGGGGACGGGCGCACCGCATGGCGCGGAGGGGAAGGGAGACGAGGGGCGAGGGGAGATAAGAGATGGGAGGGAAGGGCTAAGAGAAACGATGCCTGAATGACGTCAGCGTGACGTGATCATCACCAGGTAAGCGCTTGCAAGGAGGGGATGAGGCCCTGCGTGGCGCGCGACCATTGGTCGTGGGTGCAGATCTGCCGCGAGTCCATCAGCACAAACCCCGACGCATCCGACGACGCCCACACGCCGGCTGGTCCCCTGTCTGCTGATGTGGCGTCATCCGATTCGACGGTGGGCAGGGAGCCACGGCCCGTGTAGTGGCGGCCGTTGAAGATGCTGCAGAGAGTGAAGTTGAGCGACAGGCACAGGAACGTCGCGCGCACTGCGCGCATCCTGGCGCCCGCCGGAGGCCGGAGCAGCACACGGAGCGGACGGCCGCTGGATGAAAGCGTACGGGTGGGGCGCGTGGCAGGTCGGTTCTGGGTTTCAAAAATCGGGGGAGCAACGGGAGGGCCACAGAGGATGAAGGACCAGGGGTGTGTTCAAATAGCTGACTCATGCTCCCCAATCACGTGAAATCCAGTTTGTTCTTCAGGGCGTGTCATGTGAGTTTACGGCTCATGAATCACCGCTGTTCAAGCTGGTATGCTGCGGTTCAAAGCGGTTGAGAATAGCCCAACACAGAGCGGAACTGAAATTCACGTAGGCAAATTATTGATGCTTAGGGCGTGTCCAGCTCGTACGTTTTCTGTAAGGAATTTTCTCGAACTCCTTATCGGGGTTGACTGCTGCGCGTACAACCCGATTTTCGGAGTTCGCACGTTCGGGCGATTTCCACGCTGCCGAGGCTCCTCGCGTCGCCTTCGGCATTCCCATCGCCAAACCTGCACCCAACCTCGCTCGTCCGAGGTTTCCTCCTAGCTAGGCTAGCCCTACATTAGTCTGTGCATTCATTGTATTCTCAGTTGATTTCAGTCACAGCTCGTTATTCGTTTACCTGCGCACTCTCTTTTACAACTCATAACACCTGGTATCAGAGCTACTTTCCTAGTTCACCCCGCTTTTCGAGGGTAGTTTGGTGGCATAGGGTGTGGCTGGTTTAGTGACTACACGACGGTTGGCCGCAGGGATTGTTAATTCAATCCTGCCCGACTCCGATAGTTCGTGTTTTCACTTGCCTGAAGGCCACGGGGACCCGACTGCCCACCAGACGTAGTGCTAGGCACATGGATCAGGAGGCTGTTAACCGGATGATGGCGCAAGTGGCAGAAATGCAGGAGAGCATGAAGACATTAATGGCGGAAGTGACAACGCTGCGAGAGGAAAACGCCGAGCTACGCCAGACGCGAGGTGAAGCGCGTCAGGCGTCGCCTGTGGACGAAGGCGAGGGCAACAGTCAGGCGATGAGCAATTCACTGGATGCGCTCACACGTGACTTCGAAGAAGAAGATAGGCAGCGAGCGGCAGCAGCGCCAGTTGCAGTTACGACGATCAAGATCAAGCCCGTCAACCCGCCCCCGTTTAATCCTACGGACAAGACGACTACAGTGAAGGGGTGGCTGTTCGGTGTCGAGGTCTTCTTCACGGCAGCAGGCGTTAACGACGATGCCACGCGTATTAATTACGCGGTTTCGCTTCTTCGAGGCGCGGCGCTTGAGTGGTGGCGCCGGACCTTGGAAACAGGGACGCCGACAGGTGTGACACATGCGGCAGACGGGACCCCTGCGACAACTAATCAAGTGGCAGAATCAATCTTTGGTGTGACCACGATACGCACGTGGAAGGAGTGGGGCGCAGCCTTGCGAAACCGTTTCGAGCACGTATCCGCCTCGGAGCAAGCTCGCATGAAGCTGCGTGCCTGGTCGCAGATGGCATCTGTCCAAGACTACACAGCGTCATTTATGGGACTCGTCGACCAAGTGGATGACATGTCGGAAGCAGAGCGGTTAGATAAATACATCAGCGGCCTTAAATACGAGATACAGTACGAGGTTCGCAGGGGCCGCCCGACATCGTTTCTTGAAGCTGTACGGCTGGCAGAGTCAATAGATGCGCTGATGCAGTACGCGAGAACAACTTCTAGGGATGGAAATCGTTTTCGTGGCCAGACCCATCGGGCCACTATCAACGCCGTCCATACACCCGACCGCCCTCCTAAGGGACCGTGTTACCGGTGTGGGAAGACGGGTCACTACATGAAAGACTGCCCCGAGAAAACGTCGCCGACAGGGAACGACCTGAAAAGAAATTAGCGGGGGGAGATTTAGAGGCCAAGAAAAAGCCTTTAGAAATTATTCAGGTACCTGCAAAGTTGGGCAAAGTATTACGGAGCGTAGAAAAGGGTCGTGCGTTCCGTGGTGTTAATATTCTCTCCCCACAGCATAGTGTTAAGGCTCCCCGTTGCCCACAGGTGAAGCCTACACAGCTGCAAAGGCTTAGAGGAGACATCCATGCTCGGGAGAAATTATACAAGCCTCGGAAAAATCCTCCTACCCCCCAGGTGAAGTTGGAAAGTGCTGAGTCAGGTATAGGAAGTAGGGAAGGTATTCATCTTGATGTACCCTATGATCCTATTAATGAGACCCTCTTTGGCTACTCAGCGCAGCAGAAACCACTACTCCTCGAGGTGTTATGCAATGGGCGACGCCTCCAGGCACTGGTGGACAGCGGTGCATCTCACTCGGTGTGCGACCGCAGAGCATCGGAGAAAATTGGAGAGAAAGCGGAGGAGACCCAGTTTTCAGCAACCATGGTGGACGGTACAAAGCTTCCCATCCACGGCGAAGCATCCTTGCAGCTGCATATAGGTGCGTTGAGATGGAAGCCGAAGCTACCTGTCACCAACATCAAAGGGTTAGATTTTATCTTGGGGCGGGATTTCCTGAAGCGGTTCAACCCCGAGATCGATTGGGTCAACAGCAAGGTGTGCATCTACAACAACGGGAAGCGGATAGCACTACGAAGCTGGACGGATACAGGGGACATTCCTGAAACGACACTGGCACGGTTCGAACAGACGGTGAACGAGAGTAACACGGGTTACTTAGTGTCAGAAATAACTTAGCAGGAATGGATTGAACTAGCACATAGTTTGGTACAAGTAGGAAACCCTAACTTTCAGTACCCCCTAAGGTGTAACCCACTACAGCCTACATAATATAAGCATGCAATGTTTGACACACCCCCATAGGCGCAGTGGGAGACAACCACAGGGTCACAAGACCAGTCAAAGCAAAGCAAAGCAAGCTCAGGGTGGATCTCAAGGATTCCACACAAATTCCGAGCACAAGCAAGCGGTCACAAGACCAGTTCACATGCAGGTTTATAACAAAGCAAGAGATACAGTGATCACAACCTAGCAAAAGTAAACAAGTAGGCATATATATATAGTGATCACAGTACAAGCAAGGTCAAGAGGTAAGCAAGTGAGGCCCAGTAGGTACAAGGCCTAGCAGAGTGCAAAAGCGCTGATGGTCACAAGGCTGAAGTGCCTTGGTGAACACATCAGCAGTGTTGGCCTCCGTGGCCACGTAACGCAGACAAAGCTGACCACGCTGCTGCAGCTCTCGAGCAAGGAAGTACCGCAGAGCGATGTGCTTCGTTCTGTGCTCCAGTCTGTGCTCCTCACACAAGGCAATGGCAGCCTTGTTGTCGACGTACAGCACTGGAGGAGAACGAGGCCGCTCTCCGAGGTCGGTCAGCAGGTAGGTCAGCCAGCGTAGCTCCTGAGCAGCCATGGCTGTGGCGTAGATCTCAGCCTCACAACTGGAGCTGAGAACAGAAGAAGAGCGAGTAGAACGCCAAGAAACTGAGCCAGAGCCAAGGCTGAAGGTGTAACCCTGGGACGACCGCTGAGTAGCCTGGTCGTCTGCCCAAGAAGCGTCTGAGTGCCCTGTGAGAACAACCCGGTCTCGCCCTCCAAGCACAAGCCCCATGCCCGACGTACTGCACAAGTAGCGCAACACCCTCTTAGCAGCATCCATGTGCTCCTTCCGGTGACGGCCAGGAGCGACATAGCGTGCTAGGATGCTAAGAGGGTATGCAAGGTCAGGTCGAGTGCAGGTCATCAGGTACATGAGGCAGCCCACAAGCTCTGGATACGGGCCACTCGGCTCTACGGACTCATCCGAAGGCAGAGCTGAGAGCGAGTGACCGGTAGGCAGAGGAGTGGACTGAGGCGAGGAGTACGTGAAGCGGAAGCGCTGGAGAACCTGCTGCACCATGTGTGACTGAGTCAGGGTGATGGTGCGCCGTGCTCTGTCCCGGGTGATCCGCAAGCCAAGATAGCTCGTCAGCTCACCCAGGTCTGTGCACGTGTGTCTCCTCTGCAGCTCCGACTTCACGTGAGCGAGTGCCGCGGTGTCAGCAGTGGC